GACGGCTGGATGGCATCACCGACTCAATGGAGATGAGTTTGGGTAAGCTCCAGGAGTTGGTGATGGACAGGGAAGCCTGGCGTGCTGCAGTCCATGGGGTCGCAAAGAGTCGGACACGACTGAGCGACTGAACTGAACTGAATTGAGGAAGTCTGTCTTAACTTTCAGAAATGTTGCCTAGTATTAGGGTTGGGGGCAGGAATGTGAACTCTGAAGATTCCACTGAGGAGAATGTAGATGTTAAGATGGGCCTTGCTTGTGGGATCCCTGGGGCCAGTGGCCTGGGCTTCTAGCCAAATGGTGTATCCGTGCCCTCTGCTGTGTGGTTTCATCTTTTGCGGGCCAGAAAGGTCCCTGTGCTTCTGGGTCCTAGGTGGTGACTAATTCCACCTGAAAATGTCTCCCCTTTAGTTTCATGTCTCTAAACTGGTAATATGCAAATTCATCTTGGGGAGCAGTGGTAGGAAGGGGCTTTAAGTTAATAGCTGTTTTTACCTGAGGAGCTTTCTGAGCCCCAGTCTTGAGAAGGACAGCTGGGACACTGCATTGAAATCAAACATTCTGGAGCACCTGCTGTGTACCAGCTCCCACAAGGGGGTGGAGGTGAGAATGTCACAACTCTTGCCCTCATGAAGCTCCAATAGGCAGGAGGGAAGGAATTCATATTTGTTGGAAGCATCCAGGGACTATTAAAAGCACTTTAGGGAGGGGGGATCGGGATGGGGAATACTTGTAAATCCATGGCTGATTCATGTCAATGTATGACAAAAACCACTACAATATTGTAAAGTAATTAGCCTCCAACTAATAAAAATAAATGAAAAAAAAAGCACTTTACATATGTTATCTCATTTGTCCCATAAAGCAGATATTAGACTCATTTTTAATTATTTAAAATTTTTATTGCACACAAAATAAGGGTACGTATATACATCAAGAAACAGCATTGGCAGCACTCAAAAAAACTCCTTGTGTCCCCTTCCAGGCACAATCTCTGACCCAGGCGTGACCACTATTCTAACTTCTAGCACCATGGTTTTGTTTTACCTAAAAGAGAATCACACAGTCTGTGGTCTTTTGTGTCTGTTTTCTTTCATTCAACACTATGTTTGTGAGTTTCATCCATATTGTTGCAGGCAACAGTAGTTTATTTATTCTTATTGTTATATGATAATTTCATTGTATGGGTATAACTCTATCCATTCTTCACTTGACAGCTATTTGGGTTGTTTGCAATTTTTAGATATTACTAATAGAGCAGCTGTGAATGCTCTAATGTGGACCATTTTGGAAACCATCTACATGCATTTCTCTTAAGTATGTCCATAGATACTGCCCAAGAGTTTTCCAAAGTAGTTGTCCTATTGAATACTCTCCTAAGCAGTGTTTGAGAGTTCTCCAAATATTCACCAACACTAGGCATTGTCTGGACTCATTCTCTTTCTTTTCTTTTTTAAAAAAATATTTATTTGGCTGTGTCGGGTCTTAGTTGTGGCACTCAAGATCTGTAGTTGTGGCATGCAGACTCTTAGTTGCAGCATGTGGGATCTAGTTCCCTGATTAGGGATGGAACCCAGGCCCCCAGCATTGGGAGTGTAGAGTCTTAGCCACTGGACTGCCAGGGAAGTGCCTAGACTCATTTGCTATGTAAGTCATTTGAAGCTCAGAAAAGTTGTACCGTGCTGTGTGTGCTGGTAGGTGGCAGAGCTGGGATTCAAACCCAGGCCTGTGTGCCTGTGCAGTCTGTGCTTTCTCCCTTTGGGTTACACATTGACATAGATTATGATATGAACCAGACCATGGTAAACTCTAACCCTAAAAATCTGTAAAGAGGCCTCTGTGAGAATCTAAAGAGAAGAAGAATGTTTCATCTGTTTTGTAAGGAAAAGAGTCATGGAGGCTCATAGAGATGGTAACATTTGAGCCTGGCTTTGCAGGAAGGGAAGAGTTTTACTTGGAGGGCTCTCCAGGTGCCCTCCCCCCGTCCATCCCTTCTGCCATGAAAAGGGCCCAACTGGAGCTGGGGTGTAGCAGGCAGGGGTGAAAGTTTTGGAGGACTAGGAAAAGTCTACTTGAGGCTATAGTAGAGGATTTGTGGGGGAGGGGGCTATGCCGAAATGGTGAGTTGGGGCCAAACTGGTGTGTCTAGTTTGAGCTTAGTTGGCTCCCATGGCCCCCAGCTTCGGGTCACCCAGGATGTGAGCACAGGGCAGGAGCTCATGGTAGAGCTGGGGAGGCGGGACAGTTTCAAATCCAGCTCAGCTCCTGATAGCAAATGCAGCTGGTCTCTAGACAAGGAGGATCTTAGCTGTTTTTGGGACCACTCTCAGGGTATCTGCCAACAGAATTTTTTTTGACGTTTTCTGCTTTCATCTAGCTGTGGGAAATTAGTAGCCACTCCTACCTCCACCCCCAGGATCCAGCTCAAATGGTTTGTTTGGAAGTATTTTTGCAGCAAAAAGAAGCTGATAGATAGCAGTCCTGCCACCCTCTGCCTAGTCTTAGGAACCTTGCCAGGACAGGGGTGGGGGTGAGGGGAGCCGAGCTTTTGATCTGGTCAAGCCAAACTTGCCAGAATCCCAGTTCCTTTTCCTCAGAAGGGAACCGAATTGGTCTCAGTGACTGTGGGAAGCAGATACACAATGACCTGGGGATGAGTCAAACAACAATGACAATAATCATCCTTATTTGCCCAGCAGTTTATGTCTTTATCACAGTGGATCCTCACCTGCATGTGTGAAGTAGGGGATATAGATGCTATCACCCCAGGTTACAGAGAAGGGGGACTGAGTCCCAGACAGGGAGCCAGACTGCTATGGGTCTTGTGACTGATACACACTCAGACTAGCCTAGGACTGGGGATCCTGCTCCTTTCAGGATTCTGTACTTGGCAGGCCCTGGCTGAGCAGAGTGAAGACCAAGTCAGTAGGAGGCTCTGTGATGGACAGGCAGGAGGAGATTGGCAGGTGACCCTGAGAGTAAGACGTGGGAGCCAGGCCAGTTCCACCTGGAGGTCTTCAGGGATATGTGTGCCTCGGTGGAAGGGAGAGAGGCAGGTGGCCTCTTGGTACCAGAACTCTGGTTTGTAGGGGACAGAGGAAAGAGGCTGAAATATAGATATCACCTGAGAGTTAGGACAACTCCAGCCACTTGGCACTGATGAGACGTGCCCTTATGTAATGGTGCCTCGACCCAGCGTGGTGAAAACAGTATTTTGGGGCTCACAGGGCCTGGGCGTGGTTGGTATCTGGTTGGCAGAAGAAAAGCTGCCAGTGCCAGACAAAATGAACTCTGAGAACCCTTTGCTAATGACTCCACAGGTAGCTGTTTTTAAAATTTATTCTTATTTTTATTGGAGTATAATTGCTTTACAATGTTGTGGTAGTTTCTAGTGTACAGCAAAGTGAATCAACTATATGTATACATAAATCTCCTCTTTTTTGGATTTCCTTCTCATTTAGATCACCACAGAGCATTGAGTGGAGTTCCCTGTGCTATACAGTCGGTTTTCATTAATTATTTATTTTATATATACTATCAATAATGTATATATGTCAATCCCAATCTCCCAATTAATCCCATACCCCCTTCCACCTTGGTATCCATGTATTTGTTGTCTACTTCTCTGCCTCTGTTTCTGCTTTGTAAATAAGATAGTCTACCATTTTTTTTTCAGATTCCACATATATGTGTTAGTAGACAAAATGTGTTTTTCTGACTTCCTTCACTCTGTATGACGGTCTCTGTGTCCATCTACATCTCTAAAAATGACCACTTCCATTTCTTCTTATGGCTGAGTAATATTCCATTGTATATATGTATTCATGGGTAGCTGGTTTTATCTTTATGTTGTGCTTACTGTATCCTGGGCCCTGGCCTTAGGGTGCTATCCAGCGTGGCATGTGGCTGTCCCAGGACTAGGGGGCTCCCTGGGGCAGGAGGATCCCAGGGGAGGATGCAGACGGCCTCTTCTGTGGAGTGGGGATGCTCTGCGTGGCTCAGCGTTGTCCTGAGGTTCTCACTAAGGTGCACTGGACAGGCCGAGTTAGCGCCGCATTACAGACAAGGAAACAGGCCTCCCACTGACAGGAGATGAAGTCACAAGCTAGTTGTGGGCAGAATTGCAGCTAGAACCTCAGGTTTCTGACTCCTGGTGCCTATTGTTATTTGTCACACCTCCTCCCCAGTCTTTCCCTTAGGGCGATGAGTGAACTGCAAATCAGTTCAGACTTGAAATTGGGTGGCACAGCCCCTGAGGGAGTTGAGGTCATGATAATCCCTTACCTTTCTACTGCGGTTTGTAGTTTATAAAATAATATCCTGATTTGCAGTGGTTTTTACAGTATTAACCCCTTTTACAGATGAGGAAGTTAAGACTGTGCAGTTTAAATGACTTAGGCAAAAGTGGGACTTGAACCTGAAACTTTTTTTAAATTATTTTTTTAGCTTTATTGAATTATAATTGACATTTAACATTCTAAGATATTTAAAATGTACATCATGGTGATCTGATACACTTATATATAGTGAAAGTATTCCCCTCGTCTAGATAATTAACAAGTTTATCACCTCGCGCACATTTATCCTTTTTGTTTTTTTGGTAAGAGCATTTGTTTTCCTCTTTCAGGAAGTTTCACTTATTCTGACTCAAAACTGGGCTCTTTTTTTCCTGCATCACAGATGCCTCTTTTCTTAGTAGACCTGAATTTCATGAGAACAAATTGCCCAATTTGCCCATGGCTCTGTTTTCTCTGAACATGTTCAGAGCAGATCTGTCTCCTTAACAAATTTGAATTAATATAAATCAAGTAAGAATCATCATTGATCACAGGTCCTGAGGAAAGTCTCGATCAAGCCTTTTCTTGAGGAATGAGGGCTGTGAGTTACCCTTTGATTTTTAGCCATTTACGCTGGGGCCTCGAGTCAGACTGGTACCAATGGACACATCTGTCCTAACCTCCGGATTTCTCCTGTTTCAGGGCTGTACGCTCCAGGCCTCGATGAAGAGCCCAAACATGGAGACGTTCAAGCAGCAGGAGGTGGAGGACTTTTATGACATCGGGGAGGAGCTGGGGAGGTAAGTGGCTGTGAGAGTTGTACCGATCGGTAGATCTTATAGGTCACAGGCTTGTCACAGGGCTTGCGGAAATCTTTACAAACGATCCAGAGGGTGAGTCATTGTCCTGGGCACCTCTGCAAGTAATCGTCTCTCTGGAAATAAAGACTTGCAGCAGAAGGGGCTAGAATTGTTGAGTTCCATGTTTTCAGTATAACCCGACTGACAGTTATGGCGAATCTAAATGACTCTTGTTTTATCTGCTGCTTTGCTCCTAAAGCCCTCCCCAGGCTCTGGCCTGAGATCTGATCCATTGGTTGTTTTCTAAAACCCACTTGGGATTCTCCATGGCTCTCTGGGTTTTGTTCTGTAAACTCAGAGCCTGAACAGAAGGTGAAATCATCTTCCTGAAAAAAGCTTTGCATCGAGTGACAAGCCACGCAAGCCTGGTCGTGAAGCTTCGTCGGATCTGAGTTATTGGGTCCATTTTCAGGTTTGCTAAACCCACAAAATGGACAGGGATAAGCTCAGATCTGAAAGCAGTTACTGTCTGGAGAGAAATGAAGATTTTCTGAAGCTCTTTCCTTGTCTCTCATTTATAACAAAGCTAGTATTCAGGTGGTGTTTTAATGATTACAGAATACCAGTCCTGGAGTTTGGGTCTCTTAACAATTCATGAAATGCGAATAGTTTTTACTCTTGTTTTTCATGAGGAAACTGTGTTCTAAAGAGTTTAAGAAAGTTGATCTAAGTTGCTCAGCCAGCAAGGGGTATGACCAAGGTCTGTCCAGTCCAGTCTGTACCTGCACACCCGTCATGTTCTCTGATGCACATGGTTCTTGCACACTCACATGTGCTCACAGTATACCCAGCCCCGTCTCTCCACACGCCCAGCAGAGTAAAAAGCTGGGGGTTCAGGGCCTTCACTGTATCCGTGGTGTGAACAAGAGCCTTTCCCTTTAAAGAGCTCTTGTGTCAGGACTCATTCTTTTACTTCCTTTTATCATTCTTTCTTTATTTTTTGCAAATATATGTATATATTAACTTACTTTTACTTTAAGCATTAGGATCACATTGAATTTATGTTAGTGTTTTACCGCAGTTTTAAAAAAATTTTGGCCATATCGTGTGGCCTTTGAGATCTTAGTTCCCCAGCCAGGGATCAAACCCACACCCCCTGCAGTGGAAGCACAGAGTCTTAACCCCTGGACCACCAGGGAAGTCCACTACAGCTTTGAATATTACATCTTAATGTATTATACATGTTTGCTCATGTCATTAAATATCTTAATGCAATTTTACATTCCCTTGTACATGCATGCCTCAATTATTCAGCCTTTTCCCCTACTTTAAAAAATAGGCAGTTTCCATTTTTAAAAATTTTCATTACTAAAGTTGCAATGAACATCTCTTAGCAGAAATTTCTGATCCTGGTTTTGATTGTTTCCCTAAGATGGATAACTAGAAACTGGGTCACTGGGTACTTTTATTTTTGAAGAAAAACTACAAAAAGCTTCAAAACCAGAGGAGCCTTAGTCAGGGAAGAATAGAAAGTGCATTTACGGGAGTTCCCTGGTGGTCCAGTGGTTAGGACTTGGCACTTTCACTGTAAGCTCCTGGTAGGGGAACTAAGAACTAAGATCCTGCAAGACACACGGCGTGGCCAAAAAAGAAAAAAGAAAGTGCACTTCAAGTTCAGGAAGTGCTTGTCCTGGCTGACTGCCTAGGTCAGGGAGCAAGTGTCTACAGAGACCCCCAAAGGGGAGATTCCTCAGCATTCTGTCTGAACCGCTGCCCCTGGCAGTCCAGAACCTGGGAAGGGCTGGGGAGAGGCTGAAGGGCGGTCACCTGGACTCTGCCTCTGAGTGGGAAGCGAGGTTCTCTTTGCCTTGGGTGCTTCTCCTGACTTGTGATGTTAGGGAGAAAGTGACCCCTCAGCAACAGACCCTGGGAGGCCCTTCCAGTGTCTTCTTAAATTTAATTTTCAAAACTTTTGGGCATGCCACAAGGCATGTAGGATCTTAGTTCCCTGACCAGGGATCGAACCCTCACCCCCTACGTTGGAAACTGAAAGACTTAACCACTGGACCACGAGGGAAGTCACCTTGTTGTTCAGTCGCCCGGTCGTGTCCAACTCTTTGTAAGCCTATGGACTGCAGCACACCAGGCTTCCCTGTCCTTCACCATCTCCTGGAGTTGTTGAAATTCATGTCCATTGAGTCAGTGATGCCATCCAACCATCTCATCCTCTGTTCCTTCTCCTCCTATCTTCAGTCTTTCCCAGGATCAGTGTCTTTTCCAGTCAGTTGGCTCTTCACATCAGGTGGCCCAAGTATTGGAGCTTCAGCTTTGGCATCAGTCCTTCCAATGAGTATTCAGAATTGATCTCCTTTAGGATTCACTGGTTTGATCTCCTTGCAGTCCAAGCGACTCTCAGCAATCTTCTCCAACACCACTATTTGAAAGCATCAGTTCTTCAGTACTCAGCCTTCTTTATGGTCCAACTCTCATATCCATACATGACTACTGGAAAGCTACGACTATACAGACCTTTATTGGCAAAGTGATGTCTCTGCTTTTTAATATGCAGACCTTTTAATGTGATGTCTCTGCATATTAAGCTGTCTAGGTTTGTCATAACTTTTCACCCCCCTACACTGGAAGCTCAAAGACTTAAACCACTGGACCACTGGGGGAGTCCTCTACAGTGGCTTTTGAGTCGATGGCCTTGTGTTGGCCACATCCTGTGTGTGGGTGTCTGTGCTAAGTGCTCCAGGTACAGAGATGAGCATGACACAGGGAGTCTTTGCCCCTGGAGCTCCAGCCTGGCCGTGGCTGTGGGCACAACAAGGGCAGTGTTGACTGGGATTGTCTCGGGTGGGCTGAGAACTGAGAAGTCAGGATGGGTTGTTGGTGTTGGGCTCTGAAGAAGGAAGTGGCAGCAGTTTCCTGTGGAATTCATCTATCATTCCTTCTTAGTTCTGTCTCTCCCCGACTCTGTACATCAGAGATATTAGAATTGGAAGAGACCTCATGTTTCTGGGCTACCTACAACAGGGTGTGAAGGCCACATGTACCTCACAGCCTGGGGAGGCTTGGAGGACCACTGCCCCCTACCCCACACACAACCTGAAACTTTCCTTAGACTCTAGCTGGACACAGGGCAAGTGAAAGACACAGAGGCCTAAGGCATTTTTCATGGCTTGCTCTCCTAGGATTTGTGGTCTAGAGGTCAGGTGAGATGGAAGCCCTGTAGAGGTCTCTCTTCCAAGCCCCTCATCTGACCCCTGAGGAAAGGAGGCTCAGAGAGAGGAAGGATGTTGCCTGGGGCCATAAACAGGCTGGAACTAGAGCTGCCTTAGAGGGGTAGCCCTATCTGTCTGTCTTCCCCTCTTCTTCACGGGCTCACTGTGTGCCAGGCATTGTCTGAAGCAGTGACAAAATAGCCATTCCTGTCCCCCAGTGGCTTATGTTCCGCTGGTGGAGGAAGACACTGAACACATGGTGGAGGGGTTGCAAAAGGACACATCGCTCCAGAGTGCATGGTGGGCTGTGAAAGGAGAGAGTGGGCCACACTGAGAATGGGGAGCATAGTTGGGACTGGGTGGTCAGGGGAGGCTGCTCTGAGGAAGTGGCAGAGGATAAGTGTGCAGGCAGGGAAAACAGCCTGGACACAGGCCCTGAGGTGGGGAGGGCCTGGGCCCTGAGTTTCTGGCCAGAGGCCTGTGTGGCCATGGAACATGAGCTGGGGACCGGCAGTGCTAGCGGAGGTTGGATATGCAATTAGAGGCCAGTCTGCAAGCTTCCTGCCAACACGGACAGTTTGAGGTTTGTGTGCTTCCCAGCTGTGCAACCTTAGAACAACTTCCTTGACCTCTCTGACTCTGAGTTTTTTGGGTTTTGTTTTTTTTACCCATGAGATAGAAATAGTAACAGTAGCTACCTCATGATTACGGGGGTGAAATGGGATGCTGAGTCTGCAGGGTTCCTCACAGAGCTGGGTCCTAGGTGTTGAATGAACACCTAGTAGGGCTTCTGCCTTTGAACTTAAACTGCCTTTAAGTCTGGGTGTCAAGACCCCATCTCCCACCTCTGGACCCCCTGAGAGGACAGTGGGGGTCTCCCAGGAGGAATAGCAGTAGGGGTTGTTCTTACATTTGGGAGGAGCAGTGTGTAAACCTTCTTCAGCTCTCTGCTCTTGCCTAGACTCAGGGCTGTTTCACTGATTTTTGTTGTTCAGTTGCTCAGTTGTGTCTAACTGTTTGCAACCTCATGGACTGCAGCATGCTAGGCCTCCCTGTCCTTCACCATCTCCCGGAGTTTGCTCAAGTTCATGTCCATTGCATCAGTGATGCCGTCCAGCCATCTCATGTTCTGATGCCCTCATCTCCCTCTGCCCTCAATCTTTCCCAGCATGAGGGACTTTTCCAATGAGTCGTCCATTTGCATCAGATGCCCAAAAACTGGAGCTTCAGCTTCAGCATCAGTCCTTCCAGTGAATATTCAGGGTTAGCTCCTCATTAAGTCCTTACTATGCAAAAATGAAAATGAGTGAGAGTTACTTTTCATTTTTTACCTGTAATGACAGGTGGAGCTCACCATCATCATGTTGAATGAAGGAAGGCAGACCCAGAAGAGTCATACTATATCATCCCATTGGTGTCAAGTTCAAGACAGGCAGAATGAATCCCTGGTGCTAGAAATCAGAATAGTGGTTATTCTTGAGGGACTAGTGGCTGAAAGGGGACATGAGCGGGACTTCTGTGGGGAGGCTATTGTTGTGTTTCTTGATCCGGGTGCCTATTTCACTGATGTGTTGATTTCATGCATATAGTTAGGCCATATTTGTATATGTACATTTTCCCATATGTATGTGTATCTGAACTGAAGCCATGTTTTAACAAGGAATCTTTAACTGCACTCCCTGCCCTTGTCTGGCCCCTGAAGTGCATGTCTCTGATGCCTTTGGAAGGTTAGTCTGGGTGTATATCAGCCACGAAAGCCATAGCACTCTGGCTCCC